TATGTACTCTACTACTTACTGTCATAAACTTTGTTTTACACTCATTAATAGTATGTCCATGTCTCTGACTGCAGACTCTAGGAAAATACAAAGTCTCCACAACCACCTGTTTACTTACCAATAATGTCGACTGCCACAAGTATATGCTAGTAACTGTATAGATCTCAGAAATATGGTGCCTCTGGTTATAATTCCAGCATCTCTAATAGCCTTTTCAAGGGCAATATTAAAATACATGCATGCAAGAGCATTATCTTGCCTAGACCTTCTTTCAGTATAGAATGCCTCTGATAGATCAGACATGATTTTAACTCTACAATTTACTCTCTTCAAAGTCATTTCAAACAGACCAATCAATTTTCTAGGAAATCCAAATTCCAGCATAGTTTGAAACCACTTTTCACGGTATATGCTATCATTAGCAGTTTTAAAATCTATAAAAACATGAAAGGTATTATTTTTGTGTTCAATAGTTTTTTTTTTCCAAAATTTGTCTAACAAAATTAATTTGATGAACAGTAGATTTTGCAGGTTGAAATCCACATTGATAGCGATCAATAACTGTAGCTGCATATGGTAATAACCTATTATATAAAACATGGGAGAAGATTTTAAATGCCACATTTAAGAGAGTGATACCTCAATAAATGTAACATTCGAGTCTGTCCCCTTTTTTAAAAACGGGACAAATGGAGCCACCTTCCCATTCAATGGGGATCTGCTCTTCAGTCCAAACAATTAAGTATTAATCTTATGAATAACATCAATCAGTTCAGCTAGTTCAATATCAATTAAATTCTGCCTTAATACCATCTGCGCCTGCAGCCCTGTTGTTATTTAGAATTTCAATAGCCTCCCTCACTTCATATATGGACAGTACATCATGTTCCAGAGTTTGATCATTTTCAACAACATTCAGGTCAATAGATAGATCAGCCTCCTCCCTTAGAAGAATTTTATTATTCTAGAGATTCTTATTAAACTAAAGTTTTGTATGTCATTACCTTAACTAAAACACAAATTTTAAGAGAACCAAGTTTACAGATGAAAGTATAGTAGTATTGTTTAAAAAGAGCTCTATGTCATACCTAATTTAAATTTTCCAACCTCTGCATAACCAACACATTTATCTCCAGTTTGTTAACAAGTCCAAATAATATAATTAGCTGCCAGTGATTAGACTCTTTGTACAGAAAGAGACTTTAATAATTGTTTTTTTATTCACATTTCATTATGAAAGCTTCATCTGCTTAAATATTGGCAGAAAGAGGCAAGACCTGTTGTTTTACTTATTTGTTCATGCTTTAATGTATATACTGCAGTATTTCATCCAAACATAAAAGTAAGATTAGTAATAAAAAGAGAAAAAAAAAATATGCTTCTTGATGACAAAACAGTGTTTGCCTTCTTCAGCACACTTTTATTGCTAGCTGTTTACAGCTCTAACTCAGGTATACAGTTGTGGACCTAAGTTTTATAGATAGATATACGTAGCGTATTCGGAAACTAAGTACCGTTTCATTCTAGCGCCATCGCAGTGCTGTAGTAGGCATCCCGCGCATGCGCACTAGTCTTCTTATTCACTGACTTTCAATTGTCGCCATTTTGGTTGCTCCATGTTGTGTTTTCAGTTTGCTGTGCACATTCAAAATGTTTAAGACAATTAGTTCTCTCACTGACCGTGAGATTCGTGCCGTGATTAAATTTTTGAATGCGAGGAATGTTAAACCGGCCGAAATTTTTCGTCAAGTGACAGAAGTTTACGGTGAATACGCGATAAGTGATGGAATGGTGAGAAAGTGGGTAAGAATGTTTAATGAAGGTCGAACAAATGTCCATGCCGAGGCTCGGAGTGGCCGACCTTCTGTTGTCACTGATGATTTGGTAAGGAAAGTTGACGAAGCAATTCATGAGAACAGACGCTTCACAATGACAACTCTTTCAGAAGCATTTCCACAAATTTCACGTACTGTTTTGTTCGAAATTGTGTCTGACCGCTTGAATTATCGCAAACTGTGTTCCCGATGAGTTCCAAAAATGCTCACTGATGTTCACAAAACAAAGCGACTTGCCGGAACTGGCGGGAAGTTTCTTTGACGATGGTATACAAAAACTGGTCACCCGCTATGACAAGTGTTTGATCATTGGCGGAAACTATGTTGAAAAATAGTTTAAGACATGTATTTTCATGTAAAAATAAATTGGGGCTGAACTTTGGAATATGGTAACAGGTAGTTTGGCGACATTTTGGAGGCCATAAAGGTTACTACCTAGGACTTTGGTAATAACGTGAGAAGCACTCAGTTCCGATTACGCATTATTTTGTGTGAGGGAAATGAGAGATCATGAGATATGTCATGTGACATTAATGGACGAATTACAGTTCTTTAATCGGAAAAGGGGGTAAATTTGGAAAAATTATTTTGTATTAAGCTTGATTGTGTGAAAGGAAGGATAGTGTTGACATTAAGTTTCGGAATTGCATGGTACAAGAAATCTATGTGAAAAGTGGAATTTTCTGAAATTTGGAGTGTAAGGAAGGGTACGTGGTTTGCTGAAAGTAGTTTGAGTTATGGGTGAAATTTTATTAATTTCTTATTACTTGGGTGAATAGACTGCCAGTTGACTACTGGATTTTCGGATTTAGAAATTAGCAGTAGTACTTCAGCCGATTGGAACTCTTTCTGTAGGGAAGTGTGCGTGCCACGTAATGAAGATTCTGAAGATGAAAGTAAGTTAGTATTTTTAATTATTTGAGGATATTATTTTTATGCATTGTTCTAAATGTAAGGAGTAAATAAATTAATATGGTATTATTGGAAAATTGTTATTAGCAATGATTTAGTTTAAAGTAATTAGGATTGTAATCTAATTTTTATTAACTTAATGTATGTGCTTATATTTTAAGTAGTGTTTTTTATTTAATTATATTTTAATTTAATGATCGTGATTTTGTGAGTTATATGTTTGTAGTACTTTGGAATACGATTGAGTAGTATACGTTGAGTATTTTCATGCATTTTCGTGAAATTTTTCTAATTTTTGAGAAAAAAGCAGTGTACGTGGATATAATGAAGAGTGTGCGCAATGCCATTTTTGTGCAATTCTGGGATTTTTTTAAAGTAAAAATAAGTCAACGTGTACATGGTTTAGTTATATTTTAATTAAATGATAGTTATTTTGTGAATTTTATGTTTGTAGGAATTTGGTATACGCTTCAGTTAAAGTAAACGTGTATGGAAATAATTTAAATATTTGACACTAAGTATTTGTAACTATTTTTAATGTTTGCGTATAAATTCGTTGGTGACGTTTATAATATAACAGATAATTTAGAGGTAAAAGCTTTTGGATATTTTATTTATTTTATACGTGGAAATGTTCATTCTTGGAAAGGGTATATACTTTTTCGCGATCAGGTAATTTCATGTATGTGCTTTTTACCAAGTTTAAAGATTAAGAAAATTTTCCTGCATTTTCGTGCAAATTTTTGTAATTTATGAGAAAATAGCAGTGTAGAAGAGTGTGTGCAATGCCATTTTTGTGCAATTCTGGGATGTTTTTTTAAGTAAAAATAAGTCGACGTGTAAATGGTTTATGCGTATGGGCTATTCTGAAAAACGCGCAAGGAGTTTGCGATTGTGCACTTTTTCAAAATTTTGCAGTTAATATTTGTCATGATTAAGCAGTTTTGTTACATAAAATTTCTAGCATAAGTGTAATTCGGCTAGTAGATTGTTGGAAAAAGTGTTGAGTAAACAAAAAGAAAAGAAACATGTCTTTACTTCGTGAAGACAAAATTGCGGCGAAAAAAAAAAGTAGAGGGTTGCTGTAGCAGAGTTGGTCGCCAAATTTTCGGCAAAAAATCGCCAAGTTACTATAATCCAAAGATCAACCAAAATTGGATTCGAAAAAATTGTTTTACCATTTTTTTTTCCCCAAAACGGTACTTAGTTTCCGAATACGCCTTGTAAATCAAAGTAAAAAACCTATATTAATGTGATCTCCCATTTTTAATCATTGTACTAAAATTTTTAAATCAGACACACGACTTTTTAATCTGCAGTTTTTCATGCAAGATTTTATATTATGTATTCATTCAGTTCATGTACTTGCAATCTCTGCAGTTTCACTTGATGATTCTCCATAATGACGTCACAGACTTTTTCCAGCATTATGAGTAGTAGCGACCTCAACTAAACACACAGATCACATTTCATTTACAGAACAGAATTCTGTCGGAGGTAATCCTTGTCCTGGTTATGACTATATGAGGAGAGTTAGACCTCACAGATATACACTAAATTCCGTATTGGTAATGAGAATAAAACCATTAGAAAAGCAGACAGTGTGGATATTATTCAACTAGCTCTCTCTCTCTATGTATATCATCATTCGCCCAGAAGTAAACAGTCTTCAGTGCTGGTTACTTCTGGATAGTTTCAGTTTAGTGCCAGTTAGTTTAGTTAGTGGATAGTTCTAGGCATATGATGCAGACTACCCACATACTTCATCTATACTAAGATTTATATCTTGTACACATGCTAGGGATCAACTAGGTATTTCAGAAGTTTACTTATTTGCAGTAAATATAAATATGATTATTTATAAATTGCCAATTAAGTTAATTTCGTAAGACTAGCTATAATGCTTTATTACAAAGTGAAAAATCTTTCAGGGCTTTAAAAAAAAAAAAAAAAATACTTACTATCCTTTAGATAATTTTTCTAAAAACATTTTAAACAGATTAAAGTGAAAGGAAAATGTACACTACATCAGAAATTACATTACAAGAATCCTACAGAAAATTAGATACAGCTTTCACTACAGAACACAATGCTGGATAAACACCTTTTTCTTACTCTGCGTACAAAACATATGAGGGATATCAACACATAACCACATCATAAAATAATTCATTTCATTGTTTTACACAAAAAAAGTGAAACATTAACCAGAAAAATAAAAATAAAAAAAAAAAAAATGTGCTGGAAACCAACCTTTCAAATAACTTTTCAATGAGGGGTTATCTTCTAATCGAGACTGCAGAGCTAGAAATTCTCTAAAGCGCCTTTTGATACTCACTACATGCTTTACAAATTGCGGCGTTTCTGATGAGTTTCCAGTATCATGGAAAATGCCAGAATACTACACATAAAAATAATTAGTTAGAAATATGAAATCTTAAAATTTAATACATAACAGTGCATAAGGCATAGCTGCCAATCTTGAAATGTGAAAGAATGGAAGGTTCTAGCAAAAAAAGGGAGGGGGAGTTTCCTGGAGGTTTTTACACTGCTGGCATGACTATATTAAAAGAAATTACTGTAACTGAACTATTTACATGATTCTGATATAAAATACATTAATATTTAATTAGATATTTAAATTTTATAACTTTTAACTAATTTTATTTCGTAATTTTCTTAATTTTATATTGCAAAAATACTGAGTAGGGAAAACAAACTTTTATTTACCAAAGTGCTTTTAAAACAATTAATATAAAATTAATAGTTAATATATATGCTTCTCTGTGGATAAACTTGATAATGTACCATTTAGTGATGTAAAACAAAATTAAATACAAATATTAATTGAACAAACATTGGTTGAATCTTTGTAAAAAATTCTACAAAAGTCTACAGTAGATTGAAACAATTCAGAAATTTAACAAGAAATGTTATGCTTAAAATCACAAGGAGTGGGGGAATGGAAGTTTGCATAATTTAAAGTTTCATTAATTTAATAAATATTATTTATTATAAGGAAACATTTTCTTTAATAAAGGCTACACATTAAGAACCAAGATATAACCAGGAAAGTTGGCAGCTATGCATAAGACTATGAATCAAAGTTAAATAAGCTTACCTGAATACAGTACAGTGTATATGGAACTAATCCAGCTTCACTTTGTTGTAGGGTATCAGTAATTTTTACATCAGTGAATAATGTAGGTACTTCAATCTCCACAGCTTCTTCTGCTTGCTCTATATTACTAAAATTTACATTACTAGAATTTGAATCTGACTTGAGCGCAACCAACATTTTATTATTTTCACTTTGTAAAACAATGTTGTAGTCTTTTACATTTAAAGCTCTTAACTGTGGCATTTGACGAATATAATCTGCACTTCTTGACCTCTTAATTGTAGAAAGGGAGGAAACAGCTGGAGAATCTCCACAACTTAAAACTGCAGCATTCAAAAATTCATTATCTACTAAATTAATGTTACTTGATGACTTTTTCCCTGATGATACAAAACAAGGAAAACTATCAGACTGAGTTCGATCACTAAATTTTCTATTAAGGGCTTCTTTATCAATATAATGAATTTGGCCTCTATCACAAACAGCTTGATTTTCAAAAGGAACAGGTAACATGTCTTGGGTGATAAATTCATCACTTGTTTCACTTAACCTTCTTGCAGATGAATCTTCTGATGACAATAAAATTTCAGGCTTTATATTAGCATACTCTTTAGAATAAAGAGCACTATCTTTTAAACGTAACTCATCTACATCAGAACCTCCACTTATTTCTGTATAGTTTGTAACTAATTTTAAGATCCAGCTATTTAGACGTGATGAATCAGAAAGAACATTTACAAGAGGAAACATTACATTTTCAGTTAAAATTTCAATCACAACAGCATGTAATAAAGGTCGACATTTACTATGAAAGGAATTATCATAAGCAGCTGGACCAAAACAATCCAATAAAGTACTAACTAAACTCTGTAAGTAACACCACTCAGTTAAAATGTCTTTGGCAGCCCAGTGTTTCATCTGAAAAAAAAAAAGAAAAGAAAAATAAAGGAGAAAGTGTGGTTTTTCCTTCCCTTTAAATACACACACACATATATAGTATATATACATGCACATATAAAATTTATAAATTAAAAGTAATATAGATTATACTATCCCGGGAAATACTATAAATTGAATTAAAAGCACCCTGAAATTTATAACAAAGTAAGATGCAAATTGTTACGAAGGTATTTAAAAAACATTTTAAGAAATTATCAGTTAAAAATCATTAAAAAATTTTTATAAATATTCAAAATTTATTTATAATTATTTTAAAAGCTCTGAATTGACTTCTCTAATTCAAAACATTGAATCCTGAACAATTAAGGAGTACTGAATTCATATTTTGTTCCACTTGACTTTTGAGCAAAATTATTAAAAGAAATGGATAAAAGAATAAAAACTATTTACAATATTTACACTTAATCTCAAAATGTGAAGCAATTACCCCTTGAAAGTAATAGCAATTACCCCTAAAATAAGAATCAGAATGATAGGCTGCCAGTTTTTGTCTAGTATGAAATTTCTGTCTTTTCTATTTCTGGACAGCCCACAAGCAGCTCAGCGGAAAAAACATTGAACACTGAATAATTCGGTCTGTGGTTTAAATCCCGCCAAATGGGATGACTGTATGGGTGTTTTCATGGTTTTCCTCATGTGAAACATGTGTATGAGCCAGTTTCCCTTAGAAGTTCCTCCAAAAAGGCATCCCTCCTTAGACAGACGCCTCTCAAAGGCTTTGCCATAATGAAATAAACTGAATCATTATCGGACAACATGCTTCAAATAGTTTTTGTTAAAAACTGTATGCATATCAGTTTTAAAACAGTGTTACCGATGGTTGTAATATCTTGCAGATAGAACTAGTCAAAATCTAAAATAACTGCAACATGAGCAAAGCATTAATTCTTAAAAAAGATTCCTTAAGATGCTTATACAAATGTCTTAGAAAGTTTCTATGATTCATTTCCCTGTTTCACAACCTATATTGCTCTGATTAGGCATTTTTAAGTATAAAATCAAGGTTTCTTCTGATATAAAAATATCGGCTGATCTTTGGAATATGGTAACTGGTAGTATGGCAACATTTTGGAGGCAATAAAGGTTACTACCTAGGACTTTGGTAATAATGTGAGAAGTACTCAGTTCCGATTACGCATTATTTTGTGCGAGGGAAATGAGAGATCATGAGATATGTCATGTGACATTAATGGACGAATTACAGTTCTTTAATCGGAAAAGGGGGGAAATCTGGAAATTTTGTATTTAGCTTTATTCTGTGTTGTGTGAAACAGGGTTGGTTAATTTTTGGATCCCATGGCCCTAACTAAAGTGAATTCGAAATGGGTATTTAGGCATTGTGATAAAGAGAATTTTGCTTTTTATTTAGCGGAGGACGTATGGAGGAAAAATTCGCAGAAAAAAACCTTCAATAATTTTATTGAATGAATTAGAAAAGTGTATCCTCCCCGTAATCAAGATTCTGAAGAAGATTAGGTAAGTTAGTATTTTTAATTATTTGAGAATATTATTTTTATGCATTGTTCTAAATGTAAGGAGTAAATAAAGTAATATGGTATTATTGGAAAGTTGTTATTAGCAATGATTTAGTTTAAAGTAGTTAGGATTGTAAGCTAATTTTTATTAATTTAATGTATGTGCTTATTTATATTTTAAGTAGTGTTTTTGAATTTAATTATATTTTAATTAAATGATAGTTATTTTGTGAATTATATGTTTGTAGGAATTTGATATACATTTCAGTGGAAGTAAATGTGCATGGAAATAATTTAAATATTTGACACTAAGTATTTGTAACCATTTATAATGTTTGCGGTATGAATTCGTTGGTGACATTTATTATATAATAGATAATTTAGAGGTAAAAGTTTTCGGATATTTTATGCATGGAAAAATGTTCATCTTTGGAAACGGTATATACGTTTTCGTGATCAGGTAATTTCATATATGTTCTTTTTACCGGATTTAAAGATTCACAAAATTTTCATGCATTTTCGTGAAATTTTTCTAATTTATGAGAAAAAAGCAGTGTACATGGATATAGTGAAGAGTGTGCGCAATGCCATTTTGTGCAATTCTGGGATGGTTTTTTTAAGTAAAAATAAGTCAACGTGTACATGGTTTAGTGATATTTTAATTAAATGATAGTTATTTTGTGAATTTTATGTTTGTAGGAATTTGGTATACGCTTCAGTTAAAGTAAACGTGTATGGAAATAATTTAAATATTTGACACTAAGTATTTGTAACCATTTTTAATGTTTTGTTATGAATTCGTTGGTGACGTTTATAATAGATAATTTAGAGGTAAAAGCTTTTGGATATTTTATTTATTTTATACGTGGAAATGTTCATCCTTGGATAGGGTATATAATTTTTTGCAATCAGGTAATTTCATATACAGTCAAAAGTCGTTAATTCGGACACCCATAATCCGGACCTCAAAGCTAAAAACTTTCTGCACATGCGCTGCGTTGACACATGCGCATAAGCGTAAGACATTTTACGTCTGCGCATATGCGTGTGCGCAAGTGCAGAATACGTTTTCGCGTGTGCGTTTTATGTATAAGGGACGGTATAAGCTAAAATTATCTAATTATCTATTTCAGTTAATGATGATGATTGCATTGTTCCTTAATTTTCTAAATGGATACGGCTTATTATTTTTTGAAGACTGTAAGAGCAATACTATAAAAGTAAACTTGAACTTTCGATTATGTCAAATGGAATTTCCGATTCTGGAGCTCCCAAAGGATCTACAAAATGAAAGTATGTTTTGATGTCCATCAAACAAAAAGTGGAATTGCTGCAAAAAATGGATAAAGACATGAAGAATGTGACAGAGAGGTTAGTGAAAACGAAAAAATTTCGATTGACAAGTTAGTCAGTATTCTCGGCACAGCAATTAACGGGACTTGAACAGCGGAACTTTGTAACTGAACAAGAAATTATGTCTGTTTATAGAAATAAAGAGAAAGTATTATCACATAAAACGAAGCAACTTAAACAACTTACATTGAAAGAAATGTTTAATAAACAAATAAATATTATGCTTTTTTTTTGTAAATTTTGATATCCTTTAGATCATAATTGTTCTTGATTTCACAAATTACGGTTTCATATTTTTAATTTTAAAATTTCTGCATGCCATCTTACGAGATTTAAACTGATGATCTATAATCCGGAATCGCTGAAGTCCCGACGAGTCCGGATTAACGACTTTTGACTGTATGTGCTTTTTACAGAGTTTAAAGATTCAGAAAATTTTCCTGCATTTTCATGCAAATTTTTGTAATTTATGAGAAAATAGCAGTGTAGATGGATAAAGTCAAGAGTGTGTACAATGCCATTTTTGTGCAATTCTGGGATGTTTTTTTAAGTAAAAATAAGTTGACGTGTATATGGTTACTGTGTATGTGCGATTTTGAAAGCGCGGCAAGGAGTTTGCGATTCTGCACTTTTTCCCAATTTTGCAGTTAATATTTGTCATGATTAAGCAGTTTTGTTCCATAAAATTTCTAGCATAAGCGTAATTCGGCTAGCAGATTGTTGGAAAAAGTGTTGAGTAAATAAAAAGAAAAGAAACATAAAGACAAAATGGCGGCGAAAAAAAAAAGGGTTGCTGTAGCAGAGTTGGGCGCCAAAAAATTGCCAAGTTACCATAATCCAAAGATCAACCAAAATATCTTCTTAGCAATCTTAACATTATTACATCAAGTTTAGAGACACAAATTAACAGCTTTTGAAAGCAAAAGTAGTAATAGGATTTCTTTTGAAATCAATACTGGTCTAACAATGAACATAAAATCTCGCTTTATGTTAGCACGCTTAGATACATAAAATGTCAGCACGATCTCACTTTATGTTAGTACCTAGATGTGTATCAGAAGAGGATCAGACAGACTGTGGCATTAGATGCTCAATACACAGGAAAAATACTACGACTGTTGTCATGTTTAAAGTGGAGGGGGACAGTAACTTTTCAGTTTTTATACAGTATAAAACTATTACATACAGCTTCAATTTACTTAAAAGAAAAAAAGGCTGAGCTTTGCAATATGGTAACAGGTAGTTTGGCGACATTTTGGAGGCGATAAAGGTTACTGTCTAGGACTTTGGTAATAACGTGAGAAGCACTCAGTTCCGATTACGCATTATTTTGTGTGAGGGAAATGAGAGATCATGAGATATGTCATGTGACATTAATGGACGAATTACAGTTCTTTAATCGGAAAAGGGGGTAAATTTGGAAAAATTATTTTGAATTAAGCTTCATTGTGTGTTGTGTGAAATAGTGTTGATTAATTTTCGGATTGCATGGCGCTATGTAAAGTGAATTCTAAATTTTTAATACGTAATAATTAATAATAAGTTGACTACTGGATTTTGGATTTAGAAATTAGCAGTAGTACTGCAGCCGACTGTAGGGAAGTGTGCGTGCCACGTAATGAAGATTCTGAAGAAGATTAGGTAAGTTAGTATTTTTAATCATTTGAGGATATTATTTTTATGCATTGTTCTAAATGTAAGGATTAAATAAATTAATATGGTATTATTGGAAAATTCTTATTAGCAATGATTTAGTTTAAAGTAATTAGGATTGTAATCTAATTTTTATTAATTTAATGTATGTGCTTATTTATATTTTAAGTAGTGTTTTTTAATTTAATGATCGTGATTTTGTGAGTTATATGTCTGTAGTACTTTGGAATACGTTTGAGTATTTTCATGCATTTTTGTGAAATTTTTCTAATTTTTGAGAAAAAAGCAGTGTACATGGATATAGTGAAGTGTGCGCAATGCCATTTTTGTGCAATTCTGGGATGGTTTTTTCAAGTAAAAATAAGTCGACGTGTACATGGTTTAGTTATATTTTAATTAAATGATAGTTATTTTGTGAATTTTATGTTTGTAGGAATTTGGTATACGTTTCAGTTGAAGTAAACGTGTATGGAAATAATTTAAATATTTGACACTAAGTATTTGTAACTATTTTTAATGTTTGCGTATAAATTCGTTGGTGACGTTTATAATATAACAGATAATTTAGAGGTAAAAGCTTTTGGATATTTTATTTATTTTATACGTGGAAATGTTCATTCTTGGAAAGGGTATATACTTTTTCGCGATCAGGTAATTTCATATATGTGCTTTTTACCAAGTTTAAAGATTAAGAAAAATTTTCCTGCATTTTCGTGCAAATTTTGTAATTTATGAAATAGCAGAAATAGCAGTGTAGAAGAGTGTGTGCAATGCCATTTTTGTGCAATTCTGGGATGTTTTTTTAAGTAAAAATAAGTCGACGTTGTAAATGGTTTATGTGTATGTGCTATTCTGAAAAACGCGCAAGGAGTTTGCGATTGTTCACTTTTTTCCCAATTTTGCAGTTAATATTTGTCATGATTAAGCAGTTTTGTTACATAAAATTTCTAGCATAAGTGTAATTCCGCTAGTAGATTGTTGGAAAAAGTGTTGAGTAAATAAAAAGAAAAGAAACATGTCTTTACTTCGTGAAGACAAAATTGCGGCGAAAAAAAAATAGAGGGTTGCTGTAGCAGAGTTGGTCGCCAAAAAATCACCAAGTTACCATAATCGAAAGATGAACCGAAAAAAAAACATACAATGTTAAGGCTGTTGATGTAAACTAAACAACACTAAAATTCATTAATACAAAATGAAGATACAAATTTCGAAATTAACGTTATAAAACTCAGTTCATAGATAATAATATTAAAAAAATACCTCAAAATTCTCCAGTTTAAATTGCTCGGACTTCTTCTTTGTATCAAGAAAATGAGAGAAAAAATGAAGGTAAAGTTCTAGAATTACATAGGACAATCTCTTTTTCTCTATACTTGAAATACTATAACACAGATTCAAAAGCGACTCCTTTATATTAGTATTAAGATATGACACAAATTCTTCGCTGTCAGTGATTTTATTATACCAGGAATGTATATAATACTGCGATATCTTGGATACTATGACATTAATTTCAGTCTCTAAGTTCGCGAATTCTCCACAGTGCTGAACATTTAAATGCTCAGAAGTTCTCATAGATACTTTCTCGGAGAAGAATATATACTTGAAGAAAGTATACATCTTTTTTCCTATTAGGTAACAATAAAAAATTCCTCCCCATATTTTGGCGATAAGAAAGACAACAAATTGGTTCCTGCTCAAAACATGTGAAAAATAATACACTATGAAAGAACATGTTATCAATGCGATAAATGTATTAAAATTATCGATCAATATACATGTAAAAATTCCTAATACAACAAATAACAAATCTGAAAACATTACATTTCACTATCTTTCGGAATATCATAACCCAGCTGACGGCCAACTACTTATACTATAGTTTCAAAAAAAAAAAAAAAAAACTACTGATTGTTAGAAAACTATAACATCCAGGATTACATCAAAATTTTAACGCATTTCTCTATACAGCTCTTTTTGAATCAATCGAAATTCAGAACACAAAGCAACATGTAAGAGACCGAACACCAAAACAAATTATTACATTGAAGTTGTAGTGAGTTCTATTGACGTAATGTTTGCTGATACAAAATTAAGAATTGAGACTTGACTAAGATCTGAAACTTTTAATGTGTCATTTGCCTAGGGTTTTACTCTTGTGTATTCTGAAGTATATAAATCCATACTGAAAAAAGAATGTAGGCAAATAAGGTTCCTTATAATCTTTATTCCTCGTGACCTATCCATACTTTTATCTTGTCACACTTGTTTAGTTTTTGTACTTTTTGGCCAAAAGACTCGTTGAAAATGCAGCCAAATTATAAATATCAAAAATACCAAAATTGTCAGTAGTTGCCAAATTAATTATATAACTGCTGCTGTTATTTCTTTGGTACTAATAATTTTCTTTGTTGGCAGTTTAATTTTAAAGTGAAACTTATGGTGAATTATGATCTTTTGTTCCTGTTTGTATGTATGTTTTCATTTAATATTAATGTGACAGTTTATTTTTCCTCTTGATGTAACTACACTCGGAGGAGTGCTAATCTGAGAACTTTGGGAAAATTGTTCATCTGATTTTATACGCTGAGTATTTAATTACAAACCGATGTACCATATTCGCATATTCACTGTAATTTTTTCACGTAAACCAATATCTTCCATGTGATTGGGGGGGGGTTGTTGTAAGAATAGCCATGCCCTTCTTTCTGCCTCTTTTTTTTGGAGGGTGGGGGAGGGGGAGGGGGAGAGAGAAGTTCTAGCAATTTTGTAGAACGTTAAAGCGAAGTTGCTGATATAGTTTAATTCATTTTATTGACATACACCATATAATATTTTCATGGGCTGTGCTGTGTGATAGCTTTCCAGGTGCATGGAGAATGGCATGCAGTGTGCAAGCTTTTCTAGTTAATTTTTATACAAAGGACTAAAATTATAAGCCATCTGGGTTAACATTAGAGTATATTATTTAAATGTAAGGTATATGTAATAGGGCTAAAATGCAGAATCGCCCACTTTGTTTGGCACTTTTTACAATAGTAAGAAGAATTGTATTTCTGTCAATTTACTTTGACTTTTTAAGTGAAAATAGGTCAATGTGTACATGGATAAAGTCAAGGGTGGGCATAATGCCATTTTTGTGCAATTCTGGGATTTTTTTTTAAGTGAAAATAGGTTGATGTGTACATGGATACCGAGTATAAGCAATTCTCAAAAACGTGCCAAGCAGTGGGCGATTCTGCAGTTTCTCCAAACGAACTTCAAAATCAATTGTGCAACATTTCTATGGGTGAGCACCAGGAAGGGTAAATCATTAGAAGCAAGTTTGAAATTATTCAGAAACCTTTGGCATTATTTACTGCACCTTTTGCTCATGAAAAATTCTGCCTTCAAGCAAAACTGCATTAGTGCACTTTATTTTTACTGTCATGAGCGTCCTTAAAGTAATCATTAGTAAGACACAAGTCATCATTCATTTTTAGTGATAGCTTGTACCAAAAAGATGATCTAAGATTAAAAAAAAAAATATGTTTTGGGGTACCATATTTACTGTCCTATTTCACTTCATTCCAGGTGAATTTGATGCTGTTTGTGTACATGTGTAATGTTAGAATTGTTTTAGAGTTGTTTAATTGATTGTTTATTTTTGCAGTGTGTTTTATTAGTAAGTTCTTGAAGTGTATGTTGAAGATAATATGTCATAAAATTTGAAGTGACACATCAGCTATCAGCTTGTATGGTCCCACCGGGCGGCAGAATTAAGGAAAGACAAAGGGATGCACTTGGTAGCAGAATTTATGACCTACAGAGACAGCATTAGCCAGTAAAAGATCCAGTGCCGCCTCTCAATAAGCCCTAAGTATATGTGGGAATTTATTTATTCAGGACTCAAATAAGCATGTGTAAGAAATAGACATAAATATAATAAATAATTAAACAAATACAATTCAGGCTTAATTGTCTCGGTGTGCAATAGAAGCAAGATAAAATTTAACGGAACAACTTGCCTTTAGTCGCCAATCTCATCATACATAGCCAAATATAGCTAAATTTTATGATGATAGCTGCAAATTTTAAAGGTTTTCGGATATCGTAAATCAAAGGTGAAATTTTCCAATTAACGGATTCTGTAAAGAAATGCGGAGAAGTGGTAATAAATGAAGATGATATAAAAGAAGGCTTTCATTACAATGGCAATGCTTCTCAATCATCAGTCAATTAATAAATGGCGAAATCTGTAGTATGGTTCCAGATCGAGATAATATCACTACCGATTAGTGAAGAAAGTGACAAAGGGGTTACTGAAAATGAAAAAATTTCAATTGACAAGTTAGTCGGAATTCTAGACACAGCAATTACAGGATTTCAACAATGTAACTGAACAAAGAAATTATGTCTTTTTACAGAATTAAATATAAAGCATTAGCACAATAAACAAAGCAGTTTAAACAACGTGCATTGAAAGAAATGTTTAATAAAGTAAACAACTGAATAGTAAGACTTTTTTTTTTTTTTTTGGTAAATTTTGATACCCTTTAGAACGTAAATGCTTCATTATTTCATAAATTGCAATTTCATATTTTTAATTTTATAATTTCTACATGCCATCTTACTATTACATTTAAACTGCTGATCTAATATCTGGAATCACGGAAGTCCCGACGAGTCTGAATCTCGGACTTTGTACTGTATTTGCAGTTCGACATTAAATTTACCTCTTTACAGAACCAGTCTTTTGATGTAAATTTTAATCCTAAATGACGATGTGATAAAGGCTAATTGCCTATGTGCCTCGTAATTGAACCCTTCCTTGGTCCTTAGTCCACCATAGCAGCATTTAACATATAAAACATGTAGACCAATTTCTGAATGATATTCATAATGCTAGGAGATTTGCTGTTTATTGATACAGTACAAAGTCTTTAATCCAGACTCATCGGGACTTCGGCGATTCCGGATTATAGATCATCAATTTAAATCTGGTAAGATGGCATGCAAAAATTATAAAATTAAAAATATGAAACTGTAATTTATGAAATAAACAGCAATTATGATCTAAAGGGTATCAAAATTTACAAAAAAAGAAAAGCTTAATATTTATTTGTTTACTTTATGAAACATTTCTTTCAATGCAAGTTGCTTCGTTTTCATGTGCTAATACTTTCTCTTTAATTCTATAAACAGACATCATTTTCTTGTTCAGTTACAAAGTTCCCCTGTTCAAATCTTGTAATTGCTGTGCCGAGAATACTGACTACCTTGTGAATCAAAATTTTTTCGTTTTCACTAACCTCTCTGTCACTTTCTTCATGCCTTTATCTATTTTTTGCAACATTTCTACTTTTTGTTTGATGGACATCGAAACATGCTTTCGCTTTGTTGATCCTTTGGCAGCTCCAGAATCGGAAACTCTTTTTGACATAATCGAAAGTTCAAGCTTACTTTTTATAAAATTGCTCTAACAGTCTGCAAAAAATAATAAGCCGGATGCAATTAGAAGTTTAAGGAACAACACAATCTGCAACATTAAATGAAATAGATAATTTTAGCCTAGCTTATACCATCCGTTATACATTAAATGCATTAATTATGTGCATGCATAAACGCTACGCATGTCCAGAAAGTTTGTAGCTTTGAGGTCAGGATTATTGATCATTCCTGATTATGGACGTCCGCATTAAAGACTTTGTACTGTATTATAGAAATGACATGTCTTGTTCTTCGTTATAATGCAATCAAAGGGGTTGTTCGTGTGGTATGACTATAATCCCATTTCAACATGAATATTCAAGCTCCAGATTTGTTTTGATGAAATGTGGAATTGTCATCAATTCTAGATAAACTAGTGCTTTACTTAATGCTTCTAGAAATATTGCAAAAGTCCAAACTGCATTCTGTTAGTTAAGTAATTCTCCCAACTCTGTCAAATGATCATAATTTTTTCCTCTTTTTATGATGAGGCGAGTTTATATATTAGCAACACTACATTAGTTGAGTTCACTTAGTAGATTATTTGTAGATTTCTTTTATGCCCAATGAGTCGAGCTCCTGCCAGTGTTACTCATGCATCATATTTGCATTTATACTGAGATTGTTACCATTTGCATCTGCTAAAATAAACTATCAGTCCTGCAAGTTTCCAGTAAATCTAAATTTTCTTTTATGGTATTGCAGTTTCATTGAGTAGTAGAATGTGATGCAGTTTGATGGTTGGGGATTGTTCAATCAAATGAAATCACGGTTTAAACTGTATATTTACTATATAGTTCATATACTTACCATAGTTCAAAACCATATATTTTATCAAATTAATATTATTCAGTGGTGCTAATACTAATGGATCACTTTTCCATAATAGCCAAAGCACAAACTTTTTACATTTTAGGGGTTCAAATACATTTTTAGTACCATTTTTAATACTTCTTTTAGTGTTCAGGAAAAGGTTTTATATCTTTAACTGCGAGTTTAAGGAAATATCTTTAACTGCGAGTTCATGTTTTTCTAGTCTTAACCCGTTCACAACAGGCATCTCTGTTACCGAAGCGTTGTCTTGGGACGGCGCGTTAACCGGATGCATCGTCTTGTGGGGACAGGCAATTCGCACTGCTAAGCCTAACTTTGGAAAACATTTGCATAAATTAAATTTTTCATCCAATTGTTCCAGTTTTTGGTACATTATGAGAAGAACATTCAGGTAGTTTTCAGAATTAATTTTAAAGCTTTATTATTATATTTTCCTTAAAATTTTATAAAATACTCATTCTAGAATAATATAATTTTCTCCTTATCTCACATATAAATATATATGGAAAAATATCCAAAGAATTGCAGATTTTATTTAAAACAACACATAATTAAAATTAAAAAATATTAAAACTGTCTTTCATAAAAATTCAACGTGCAAGCAACGAAAAGGAAGCAATTTTTCAAAAAAGAGACAGTGTATGATATTCTTTGCAACATGGGTGGACGCGAAGTCCAACGTTGCATATGTCACAGGAATAGAATATCTGCTGCCATTTTACTCAGCAAATTTGACTCATTTAGCATTTGTGTATGTTGTTCTACAGTCAGATAGTGCTTTTGTTTCGCCATTAAAAAAAAAAAAAAAAAAAAAAAAAAACTTTTGCTAAGCGATACAAAATATTTGTCTCAATGCCACAAAACTCAAAGAGTAATCAAAAAGTATCTAATGATAGAACATCTACACTATAACGGTCTAAAAAAATAAAATAAAAATAATTAATAAATTAAATTAAAAAGTTTTCCAGACCATTGAGAACATGTTCATTTGTTAATATAAAATGACACAGTAAGAGCCATTACATTACTCAGCACTAACGAATTAGCTTTTGTGTATGTTCTACGTTCAGATACTGCTTTCGTCTGCTATTAAAAAAAATGCGTTTCGCTGATGATACAAAATATTCATCTCAATGCCAGAAAAATCTAAGAGTAATAAAAAAAAG